ACCCGGTATACAAGTTGGGAAATTGGAATCAATGTTATCAACGGGATGCAATCAATTGATGGCAAGTGCCTGGAGGTGGTGATAGCAAAGATTCCAGTCCTCAGTTCCTTTCCGGGTAAGTAGGTACAAGTACGAGCACTATCAAGGTCGATTCGATTCGTTAGCCTGTCCTGGCTATCATCGCTTCCAGAGGCCTTCTTCCTCTTTCTTGCCTCATTCGTAACCACTACTGAGTAGCGGATCCCCCAAGTAGGTAGTATCAATCTATCTTAGCCAGTGTCCACCACAAGCTACGAGTTCAGACTACAACCTTGGCTGATACCGATAGCAGGAATAGACGCTTGTGCTAACATGAAAGCCACAGAGCTAGTCGCCGGCGATGCGTTCTCATGCCGTAGCTCTTCCCCGGGCTGTCCAAAGTCCGGGAATGGGGCCAAATGGCTGGCACGGCGTTTTGGCTAGCGTTACATGGCCAGGATGGAAGGATACCGCAACTGTCTTGCAAATTGAAACCTCTTCCCACCATCTCACGACACACCGTTAGATGTCGACTGGAGTGGTGGCGGCACATGCCTGTTGTCTGGCAATAGTACGGGGGAATAGCAGCATCCAACAGCCTATCGGACGTTTACCAGTCCTCGCTTAAAGCACACCGTAAAAAAGAAAAGCGGGGGCCTACCTGCCAGCCGCACATTCTTGTAATTGCGGTGACACTTTTTCCTTCCTTCGAAGCTCTGGGTTTTCCATACGACCGCGTGCAAAGGTCCGGCTATCGGTAGTACGTACCTGTACCTCTGTACCAGTGTACTTACAATCGTTGCAATCAGACAAAAGGCACCGTCAAAGTGCGGGTAGAATGTTTCTAGTAGAGCTGCCCCATGTGACTTAGTAGAGCCGAAGATGGTGCTCGACTTTGGGTGCCTTTTCCCCTCTTTGCCCGCACCCTCTAGGCATATTGGCATAGTACATATGACTCGCCCTCGACAACCATGATGGCCATGGTGAAACTGGCGATTCTCGAGGCTCGACGAGCGGGAAAAGCCACCGGGCCTGGAGGGGAGTTGGGCTCCGTACGGAGTACAGTAGTGCTCTCAGTAGCTTAGCGGGCCGGAGAAGCCACCGTCGACGGCCGTGGCTCGATTCTCAGCCCAGGCGATGGGTAGCCTGGAGCCCCAATGGGGCATTTTGCGGGAACGCGCGGGGCCACCAGGCGATAGCGAGCGCGGTTCTACGTTGGCCGTCCTGGAGAGGCAAGTTGGAGAAGCTTCACCGGAATCTTTGGTCGAGGCGGTATACAGCCTGGGAGGGAGGTATTGACAACGCAGCGCGGCTTGCAGCCGGGGGGTGGACGGCATGGGGATGCTACGGTACTCCATGCAGTGAGGAATTAACGAGACAACAAGGAAAAAGAAAAAGAAAGGAAAGTAAAAAAAGGGAGAAGAGACAAGAGACAAGAGGAAAAAGCAAAAAGCAAAAAAAAAAAAAAAGCAAATACGGGCTTTTTAGTTTTGGCGAGCGGGGATGCATCTCGTTTCACCCGCGAGACAGTTGCCACAACTGCCGTATTTTCATTTCCATGTTCTTTTTTCTCATGTATCCATTTTGTTTCCCTCGTGTGTGCGTGTGCAAGCGATTCCCTCTAGCAAAAGTCTTGTTATCTATCCAACCATCTAATAAAGACTATGATTTTTTTTCCCACCTCCGCCCAGGTGTTTCGTATTTGGTCTTGTGTGTGCCTCTCTGGTGGCCATTGGCTGTGGGCTACTGTCCTGGCCAGTACTAGCGCGCAGCACCACAAGCAAGTTGACACAAACAAAAGTGTCTCCATGCATAAGCATTACGGAGCACATACGAACAGACTATGAAACGGATGACGAAAAAGCCCTTGGTCTTCACAAGTTGAGGTGGAGACGGGCTATTCTTGTACGAGGTAGCACTACCTGCACTAAGCAGCATCCAAGACATAAAAATAATCCACTCATGCAGCCCGCTCCTCTTGGATTGTGATCGACGCGCTAGGCCTGGTTCTGGCAATTGGCTAATATGTCAGATCAAGTTTGACTGAGCTGCCCGTTGATGACCACCGTAAGACGAGATCATTTGAGCCTGTGCTGTGCGTATGAAGCAAGAGAATGCTGATAGTACCGCCGCTACTGTATGCCATCAGATAGGTTTTGCCGTCCAATGTGCCAAGGTATAGACTACTTTGGACCTTGTGTGACGGCTGCTGGATATGTGCTAGCGCGACAAGAGGACACAAACACACATGCATCGCACATTCTGACCTGACAAACACACCATCAAACAGCCTGGGCGGCAACATGCCCAAACACATCAGCTTTTTGGCCCTCTGCAGTGGATGCGACACCCGCCCTCCGGCCGGCCAATCTGGGATCCGCGTTTGACGTCTTTGCCTCCGAGATGTTGAGTTTCCCACTTTCTGGCTAGCGACTGACGGCAGGTTTCAACTAGCAGGTCGAATGACTTACAACCACTGGACAGCGTGATTGATGGCTTGAGCGCATCGCCCATCAGGATATCATGTGCCTTGCAGCGGTGGAGTTTTGTCGAGGTCTCGTAGGTGTGACGCCAGAGACTCGAGGTCCAATGGCTGTGCACAGTCGAGGTGTGCGTCAGTGTGCAGAGCTGAGACGGCGGCTTTTTGTGCAAGCTGGGTCATCAAGTCGATACTAGCACGCGCTTGTATCCTATCACGACACGGCATTCTGCAGGGCTTGTGACGCGCTCTTGTGTGCCCGTGCCCGGCTGTGAGTGGCCAGCGCCGGAAAATGGCGCGCACAGAGCGAGCCTGTCAACAAGAACAGCGAGCCTCGGGGCTAACAGTAGCACTGTATTTAGTGGTGGTGGTACCTGTTAGTGGGTGGTTAGCGGGTTGGCGCCGGCGCAATCACCGCAGGCGAGCCGGCATTCTTGGTGACTGACGCTGATTTCATAGGTGGCCTCTCGACGCTCGAGTGTGCGTACAGTAGCATCAGCACCGAATGGACGAGCAAACTTGGACGAACGAACGCCATGGGGGCCAGGAATCGGCACAGATTGGAGCATTGCAGCATTTGCGCCTTGAGAGGTTCCGTGACCCAATCAGCACCTGAGCCGCCGTGCAGATGTCATTGTGAGGCATCCATCTCTCGTTGTCCATTCTTGGATCCGGCTTTCAGTATTGGAGGGGATGGATGCCGTCTTTTTTCTCTTCTTTCCTTTTCACTCTTGTCTCTCTATCTCTCTATGGACGCCCCCCCTTCCCTCCATCCCACTCCATCTCCAGTGTGATATGCGCGCGACTACCACAAGCCAGAGGGAAACCAAAAACGAAAAACGAAAAAGAAAAAACGAGACAAGAGAGACCACAAGCAAACGGGCACCACCAGCAATTGGCTCGGCTCACAGTGGCTTTTCGTACCCCAAGCCCAGTGGAGAGAGAAGCGCTGCGCTGTGCCAGTCGCGGTGCATCCGAGAGGTGGCGGCGTGTCTCTGTCATTATGCTTGTTCCTCGCAAAAGCCGTGCCTGTATCTGTGTGGACGGATGCACTTCGTATGTTACGCTCGTATGGACAGGTAAGCCCACAATCCAGAATTAGAAGGGTGGCTGCGCCATGCTCGCCCGCCGGTTTGACTCAAACCGGGCCAGTCAAGTCATCACGGTACAAACGCCCAATGCCAAATGGCGAATGGCGACCATCCATGCGCACGTTGGTGCTGCCATACGGACGGCCGTTGGCATTGCATTAATCTGCCATGCCATCTATTCTATTACTTGTACTCGTGCTAGTCGAACGCCGGCAGCAAAGAAAACAGAGGCTCTCTTTTTGATGCTATACTGCAAGTGGTACTATTACCTCTTGTGCTAGTACGAGGACCAAGCAGGACCTGTCGTCGTGTTACATGTATGAGTACCTTGGGCAGGCCCACCGCCGTTGTACCCACCTCGACTCGACTCGGCTCGACTCAACTCGACTTGGGGGCTTTATGAATTGGCAGCTTTTTTTTTTTTGTCACTTCCCACTTTGGAGCCCTCTTTGTACAGTTGTACTCAGACTACCAAGCATCACCGTCAAAGCCGCACCCTGGTCGCTTCTTAGGCTGGCCGTTAGCCTGGCACTAGGTACGTACCGCCTCCACGGACTCGACAGATGGACTCGACCAGGATCACTGGTGCTAGCAGGAGACCCATGTCGAGCTCTTGGAGTTGGGTCTCTCTCAAGGTTCACACACCCCTGGCCGTCCCAGACATCCCAGACAACCCTGGACTCACACACCACTCGCCCCAGACACCTCACGGACGACAGGGGCCAGGGAGGAAGCCTGTCCCGTCATGTCCGCGCAACGGATCCTGGCTCTTGGCCAGGTCGAGTGAGACAAGTGGAAGTGGACAGGCCTGCGTGGAGGCGACGGAGCGTTCCCACTCTGGTGGGCTCTCTTGCCTATCGGTCGATTTGCTCGTCGATGATCTTGGGCTTCATCGTCCTACTTATCCTGCCACGGCCCCCCGCCGTTACCATCAACTCATCCATATGATCGGCCACCCTTGAGCTTGTATATCTTGTTGTTTTATACCCTCCATTCTCCCTTCTTTTGCGACTTCGTCTCCATCGGAAACTCGTTATATTTCTTCGAGATTCCTTCCCTTCTTTTGCTCGAACATTCGCAACCCTCAACCTCATCCCTCCCACCATCGCAACAGTCTAATAGTTAATCACCACTACTACCCAAGACTGCCATCCATTCTTTGCGCCGGATCTGAAGACGACCTAACGAAGAACCAACCACTCTTTACGTGCCTCACCAATTGCCTGGGCAATTGTATAATACGCAATACGACTTATACAATAACAATAACGTTTAATAACTAAATACTCTATTCGAAAGCCACCGCAAGCTCTTCTCTCACGAGGTTAGACAAGCCAGCCAAAAAAAAGAAACAAGGCTTTACAGAGGACATGTTGAAGAGCTGACACATTCTTTTGGTTCAGCAGAATACAATGGACGGCATGATGTCTCAAGCTATGGGACAGCAGGCGTTCTACTTCTACAACCAAGAGCACAAGATGGCTCCCCGACAACTCGTTTTCGCACAGCAGATGGCCGCTTTCCAGATGGTGCCTACACTGCCTCCCACTCCCATGTACTCGCGACCAAACTCCTCCTGCTCACAGCCCCCGACCCTGTACAGCAACGGCCCTTCAGTCATGACTCCCACAAGCACACCTCCGCTGTCCCGAAAGCCCATGCTGCTGGACACCGAGTTTGGCGACAACCCCTACTTCCCCTCTACACCTCCTCTGTCCGCCGCTGGAAGCGCCATGGGCAGCCCCAAGACATGTGACATGCTGCAGACTCCCATGAACCCCATGTTCTCCGGCCTGGAGGGCCTTGCCGTCAAGGACAACATCGATGCCACTGAGAGCCTCGTCCTGGACTGGGCCAGCATTGCCTCTCCACCCCTGTCGCCTGGTAAGTGATTTTGAAATTAATTTCCGCGTCGAATATTCCTCTCGCCGTTCCAAATTTAAAAAAAGAAACTGGAGAAGACGCTTTAATGAATACTGGGGCGGGGCACAAGGCTAATCCACTTTGGGCAGTGTACCTTCAATCTCAGGCTAAGGTCCATTCGCTTACCTCAAGCCCGAGCGACATGCTATCCACAGCTTCATGCCCTTCTCTGTCTCCCTCGCCAACTCCCTACGCGCGGTCTGTCACTTCGGAGCATGATGTTGACTTCTGCGATCCCCGCAACCTGACCGTCTCTGTTGGCTCCAACCCCACCCTGGCTCCGGAGTTTACCCTGCTGGCCGAGGACATCAAGGGCGAGCATATGCCCGCCGCCGCTGCCCACCCAACCTTTGACTTCAACCCAGTGCTGCCCAGCGGCCTGCCGACCTTTGAGGACTTCTCTGACCTGGAGTCGGAAGCCGACTTCAGCAGCCTCGTCAACCTCGGCGAGATCAACCCCGTGGACATTTCCCGCCCCCGCGCCTGCACCGGCTCTTCTGTTGTGTCTCTGGGCCACGGCAGCTTCATTGGCGACGAGGAGCTGAGCTTCGACGACAGCGAGACCTTCCACTTCCCCTCTCTGCCTAGCCCGACTTCCTCCATTGACCTCTCAGACGTCCACCAGGACAAGAGACAGAAGAAGGACCGCAAGGACGTCAAGCCCATCATGAACGCCGCTGCCAGCGGTTCTCAGTCCGGCAACGAGCAGATTGGCGCCACCGAGGCTGCCTCTGCCGCTTCAGACTCCAATGCTTCTTCCGCTTCTGATGAGCCTTCTTCCTCCATGCCCGCCCCCACCAACCGCCGCGGTCGCAAGCAGTCCCTGACCGAGGACCCTTCCAAGACCTTTGTCTGTGATCTCTGCAACCGACGTTTCCGTCGCCAGGAGCACCTGAAGCGACACTACCGCTCTCTCCACACCCAAGAGAAGCCTTTTGAGTGCAACGAGTGCGGTAAGAAGTTCTCTCGCAGCGACAACTTGGCTCAGCACGCCCGCACCCACGCTGGCGGTGCTATCGTCATGAACCTCATCGAGGACTCTTCCGACGTGCCTACCTATGATGCTGGCATGATGACTGGACCTGTAGGGGATGACTACAACACCTATGGAAAGGTCCTCTTCCAGATCGCATCTGAGATCCCCGGAAGCGCCAGCGAGCTCTCCTCAGAAGAGGGTGACCAGGGCAAGAAGAAGCGCAAGCGCTCGGATTAAATGGATAACACCTGCTTTCACAGATGGTCATCGATCATCTTTATACACGCCTGACATGATTCACTTTTATCACACACTTCTTGCTTCGCTTCGGCGCAAGCCCTATTTCCACACATACACTTTTGCTAGAGGAGGACATCGCACTATACAGGGAAAAAGCTCAAGCGGATATGATTGCATTTTCAAAACCTTCAGTTCTTGTATCGACTTGCAACATCATAACTGATGATATTTTTTTTATACATATCAAGGAAGACACTTCCTTGATATCTTCAACAATTTTGCATCATGACAAAAAGTTCGACAAAGGCTCGAACTCGGAAGAGGAATTTTCGGACATGATTTTGTTTGTTTTGGCGCGCATGGCGGACTATTAGATTTCTTACTTTTTTATATCTGGCGGAAACAACGACGGTATGCTAATCAGTTTGGCTGCCCCTCTTATTGCACACTTTGGTGTGATAATCCATCGCGAGCGATGGCTGGAAAGGTCGTTTGCCAATGGCGGGAATAACTGATACATTAGAGAGGGCACTTGGGAAGCATTTAGGCCAGTGGGAGGATCGCACCGCCCTTCATTGGAGGCTGATTCCTTTTTCTTTTAGTACAAATATTTGTTTGTTTGTGCTGCTCACTCTTGTGAGCAAATGGGTTATGGCAGGGTGTGCGGGTCACATTTTTTTTAGAAGTTTTACTTGACGCTATGCCAACCAATAAGAAAAAACACTGTTGCCAATTAATACTGAATTGTGCCTTGAAGATGGTGACATGTTTGCCCTTGGCCAGTGAAGTGTTATGTGTGAACGTGGAGAAAGATATGGGATATAGATTTTAGACTTGGGACTTGGGATTTGGATATTTAGACTACCTATAGAAGACAGAAGAAATTCACATTTTCAACAGAACTGTTTTTGCTTGCCATTGTGATGTTTGCGACTATAACTGTGGTGTTAATTGATACTCGTGCTACTTTCAAGCTACTGTGAGCCATCCCGCAGAACTTGGACCAACCATCACATATACGTGCCATTGCGTGCGTGCTGGGGTTTCACAGATAACGTTCTTACCATGCGGCTTGGCCATACCTGTATGAAACGAAATGCCTCGCAGCATACGAGCTGGTCTAACAAACAACCTGAACCTTTACTCGGCCGACAAGAGTTACGCTCTCAGGCCGTTTACCCGACAACCCCCCCTTCCAATGAGACTGACCGGCAACACAACAGACCCCAAACCCTCGACGCTCAAGGGGAGGGCATCAAGGGGGGGGATCGTTTTGACAGGACTAATCTGTGACATCTCTCGTCTCGGACAGGACGGGTGAATGGAACGGCCAAAAGAACGTTCATGGAACAAGTTGGCCGGCGAGAGTGGGGATTGCGGCATTACTGTTGCTTGCTTTCTCCCTTATCTGGGGGGGGGAGGGGGAGCAGCCATATTGGGAAACCATGCCTGCCTGGTTCTCTCTAGGTGAGGCGTAGAGTTCAGCTCACATTTTGGTTTTCCTTCCACGGCGCTTCTATACATGTGGGGATGTATACGCTTCCTCTAGTGTTTGTTCTGCCTGGGGGTGGAAGACGAACCCTTGCCTCGAGTTCTCCGGCCCCATTGCCGGTCAAGGGCCTGGTGGCACCGTTTGAGGCCGGTATTGGGGGTCCCTGCCAGGCACAAGTTGCTTTGGGAAACGAGCAAAAAAAATCTCCTTCGTGGTGTGTTTGATCCATTCCGCGGGGACGCTACCTGGAGTTTGCCAGAAATGTGAGTCGTCACATATTTGCTCAAGGATGGGCTTGGCTCGGTGGCTTTTCTTGGAGAGCGAGATAACGCTAACGATGGCCTTTCTTGTCCCCTTCGGCGTAGTATGAAATGTACGAGTACAGGCACCGGAGCACGATACGTGCCTGGCACAAGTAATCCGCGCCAACTCCATATCTGCGATGGAGCTAATCTCTCGCGCAATCTATCCGGGGCCCGGGTATGGCCCGTCTGGTCCGTTGAAGAGGGAACGTGCCTGGTCCAGGGAGTACTCTTTGGGAAACGCGGACGCCCTAATTTGGGAGGGATCATGACAAGAGAAACCCCCCCAGTCGACAAAAGGTACATGGAGTAGCACGTAACTAGACTACCGAACGGTCCCTGGACTAGCTCGAGTTGTGAGGGAGCTTCGAATTTAGGCGTGGGGTGGCTCTCCGGAAGGTGGAAATGAACAGAGTCAAGCTGGGCTACTCCATACTTGGACAGGCGAAAGCTTGGCCACGACCTTGACGAAAGCACCGGTGGCGTTCCACGGTGGCGGCAAATTAACGAGAGGCGAAGCAATGGTTCCTATTTCGAGTGATAGTTAATTAACTTGACGGCGACTCGGTCAATGGTCGGTGGTGAATTTGGGTGCCTGGACCGTGGCGCCGGGCCTGCCAAGCGAAAAAGAACAATGTTCTGTCGTCTTCGCGTGCAACACGTGCGCCCGTATTGGCTCCATAGGCAGAGAAATACGGAGTTCGGCGTGTGTTCGTGGGCTGTACGAGGGCGTTCCTGGATCCAGCTGGAAGATGTCTTATGGCGAGACCTTCTGCGGAGCCCTTTCCTTGGTGAACATCCTTCGAAGATTGTTCTCTGCGGGCGTTTTGCTAGACTCGGCCGATAGCAATCGCTCAACTTTCCCATCGTCAGCTCACCGGGCGAACACCATAAGCACCAATTGGCCTTGTCTCCGTCCAAGCTTCCCTATGCTGTACAAGTACTAGCACTCTGGTACTATTTGCTAGCATGAAGCAGCCATGGTATAACCTGGTATTTGGAGCAAATCAATGGATACCCCCCACAGAAGGCCAAAGGGCCGTAGGACAGGGCTTGAGGGCGTCTCTCATCACATTGCCTGACTCGGTGCCTCATAGCAACGCGAGTAATAGTTTAATAGAGAGCGACTGCTAGCCTGCGCACGTGCTCTCATGGCAATCTGCCGTCTTTTTGGCCAGCGTATACTAACGCCGAGAGCGGGTGAAGCGTCGTGTTGGTGGTAGGGAAGATCGCCGTAACTATCGTAGCTTCGTGCGGAGTAGAACCACGCTGATGACGGAGGATGTGTCGTTAGTTTGCCAGCCATGATAGAGCCATCTTTTGGCGCGCCTAGTGAAGAATATCTCCCCGAGCTGAATGAGTAGATTGTGGTAGTTTCCCTGCTAAACATGTTAGCGTAAATGGCTTTATCTTCGTGTTGAGATTGGGGGCTTGAAGTGATGTGCGAGTCGCGGTTATCAGCGGGACGCCGTTGATCTACGGCACTCCGCACAAGCAAAGGGAAATCGAGTATCAAAATAAGAGAACAAATTCCATGCATGTCTTATCTAGTATATTTACATACAAAATATGGTAGCAGTTGATATTATGCGTGCTCGTTCAAGAGTATAATGACCATGTTGTTTGGTAAAACGGCGTAGTGTCGGTGGAGTGTGTAGATGTGATAACCGTTAAGGTGGACGAAAAAAAAAAAAAAAACTCCGTGCTCTGGCAAGGCGTAAAAAAATGCACGTGAGATGCAAGATGCTCATTTTCCCACAACGTCGTAACGCCGCTGCAACCACGGGATTAAATGCCAGCTCTTGAAAAAAGATGACGTCCGAATCACTCAATGTAATTGCGCTTATTTCAGGAGGCAAAGACAGCTTCTTTAATCTGGTTCACTGCATCCGCCATGGGCATCGCATTGTGGCCCTGGCGAACTTGTTCCCAGCTGTCGACGACGCCAACGAGGCTGTAGAGGATGTCCAATTCATCGACCCAGAGCAGCAGACTTCAACAGCTGCTGAAGATGAAAGCGCTCATGAGGAGGATCTGAATAGCTTCATGTATCAGACGGTTGGCCATGAGGTCATCCCGCTCTATGCAGCAGCAACTGGCATACCCCTCTATCGACAACCTATCCGTGGCGGGGCACAGCATCACGAACGAGACTATGATTATTCGTCTGGGGGAGAGAAGGCTGATGAGACGGAGTCAATGCTGCTTCTGCTAAAAGCTATCAAAGCTCGCCATCCAGAAGCAAACGCTCTCTGCTCCGGGGCCATCTTGTCAACTTACCAACGCACACGAGTTGAGTCTGTTGCGTTGAGACTCGGCCTCACTCCACTGGCATATCTCTGGAAATATCCCGTTCTTCCATCTCCTGAAAACGAGGTTGCGGATGATGCTCAGTTGCTGCGTGACATGGCTGTGGCCGGGCTCGATGCCCGAATTATCAAGGTTGCAAGCGCCGGACTTGATGAAAGCCACCTATGGGAGCGAGTGTCGAGCGCCGAAGGAGTACATCGAGTGAAGAGTGCTCTGAGAAAGTTTGGTGCTCCTCAAGGGGCTGCACTGGGCGAGGGAGGAGAGTTTGAGACGCTTGTCTTGGATGGGCCGGCTTGGCTTTTCAAGAAGAGAATATCTGTTCCCGAGGAAAGGCGGCGAGTTGTCAACGAAGGAGGGGGCTCAATTTGGTTGATGCTTCGGGGAGCTCAACTTCAAGACAAACACACAAACATCGATGGCGATACGGGCCCGGAGTCGTCGGTTAGGATTCCTGAGCTGTTTGATTCCAAATTCCATGCCATCTTGGATACGGTTCTGGGCACGAACCTGGCCGAGGATAGCGGGGATGAAGTGTCAGAAGCTCCCACACCACGAATTTTGGGCAAAAACTTCTCCACGACGCTGGAGGAAGATGATGACTTTCTGCGATTTTCTGTCATGGCCAAGTCTTCTGCAGACTGCATTTCGATTGAGACAGAAATGCAGTCCATCGTTGGCCAAATTGACGGACTCCTTTCCTCCTCATCTCTTGATGCGGCTCAAATAATCAATACCACCATCATCCTTCGCAACATGGCAGACTTTCCAAAAATCAATACAGAGTATGGCAGGCTGTTTACAAAGCCAAACCCACCATCACGGGTCACTATTTCGTGCGGTCATTTACTTCCATCTGGCTGCAATGTCATGGTGTTCCTCACAGCCCCGAAATCAGGGTTAAATTCGCATAGAAATGGGCTCCATGTTCAGTCTCGGTCGTACTGGGCACCGGCGAATATTGGCCCATACAGCCAGGCTATTGACGTTGCTCTAACGGCAAAAGCAGAGGATACCAGTCTTCGGGGCATCTACATTGCCGGCCAGATCCCCCTAATACCCTTTTCGATGGTTCTACCACCTCCATCAAAGACCAGTCACGATATGCAGATTGTCCTCTCATTACAACATCTCTGGCGAATTGGGCTTGAGATGAAGGTTCAACTTTGGACAAGCGCGGTAGCTTACTTTGCTAAATCATCGTCGCCTGATGAGATGAAACGCAACGCCCAAGCAACTGGCCTTGCGTGGAAGCTCGCTCATGGCTCACCGGAAGATGACGAAGATGACGGAAACGAATTGGACCCTTGGGATCTTAAGTACAACTTTCAACACATGACACTGGCGGGCGATGAACAGAAGACTCGTGCACGACTGCCTGACTGGTCAATTTTTACGCTGAGACGGCAGAACGAGCCGGAATCGTGCATCCCTCCCGTCTTCGCGGCCGAAGTGGAAGAGCTGCCTCGACAGTCTACAGTAGAGTGGCATGCCCATGTTGGCCTGTCGCGAATCGAGGAGAGCAGTGTAGAGATGATCTATCATCCAGAAACTCCATCGTCTTGCTGGAGGGCATGGCATGTGTTCATTCGCTCTCCAAAGGCTGCACTGGTGTATACAACTCTAGCCCGTGTCCCGTCACGGGATCACAGCAGCACCGATTGGGAAGCTCTGCAAAAGGAACTTTCAGCCTCATATGCGGGCTCAGTTCGGGCCCTCGGGCTGACACCTCCAGAGCCTTCAACCCCTCATCTGGCCTATGTAGAGGTCACCAGCGTCACATCGCCGTGGTCGGATGTCGGCGATGCTGGGCCGTCGGTGCCTTTTGCGATGGTTCCGTGCCATACAATCTGGTCCGCCAAGGGAGAAAAGATAAATTGCGTGGCGATGTATAAAATGGCTCTTGGACTGGCTCTGAATGAATAAATAAAAGAAAAAAGAAAAGTTCTCAATAATTGTGTCGACAATGGCACTTGCTGTCTGTTGAGTCTGTTGTGAAGGCTTACACCGAGAGCCCCGACGAGCCGACGACCATGGCATCCAACCACCAGAGCACACATTGGCATATGGGCCCATTGCTTGTCAGACGATCTACCGGCCAAGATACAATCTTCTCTATATCTGGATTTGCGGGCAACACTAATAGTTCCTTGTGACCTCTTAGTTGGGACTCCTCGGGCTCCCTGAGCGGCGTGGTGTTTGACTCAAACCTGCCTCACAATTGCCGTTGGCAACCCACGATTTATCATTGTTGTGGCGGAAGAGACGTGCAAGGCTGAAGCCAAAGCGACGTTGATAGTATTTACTACTACAGCCATGTTTCTCTGGTATCTGCGACTATAGATAATGCTGCTCTAGTACCTGCTACTATGGCTTTCGTCCACAATGACGCAGCGGCGGCTGGGATCGCGGGACTGCGGATCTCGCTCTTCAATTTAGCTGACGGAGACCAAGTGGCCACTACGCCTTGCTCGTACATGAACTTGACTGTCCCGCGCGGGAGCCAATTTATTTTCTCTTTATCTCCTCTTCCTGCTCCTCTGCTCCTTGGATTCGGGCGCAATGCTTCAACAGCGTCTCCCGCACCGTCTGGCTCTGCCCGTGCCGCCACTCTGAACTACAATCACGCAACCAAACCTTAGTTTAAATGCGCCGCTCTGCGCCCCCACAAGAGATTGTGCGCATGTGCTGTGGCACTGAGTTCAGAGTAGTACTGCCGAGTCAAGTGAGACGTGCACCCTGGTCGAGGCCGTGACCATGGCTTCTCACCCTCAGACCAACGAGCTCGACGCATCTGCCTCTGCAGTGGCATTGCCGAAGAAGACGCTATCGAGGGCTGACCTGCACCGCCGCCGGTCGACAGACGAGCGGATTAACAACATTCTCGAGGTGAGACGAGGCCACCCTGTGCTGTTTTTGGTTGAACCCTTGGTTTAAAGGCGGTCTTCTTGTGCGTGTTCCCCCCCATCTCGTTGCCTCCATCCCCATCTCCAACATCGTCTGTTCCAAAGCTCCGGGGATCGTCTTTGACAAGGAGGACTGCACTGCGCGCTACAACTTGTCAATTCCGCTACGTTTATACGCAGAAGAAAAACAACATGTCGCTAACGGCAATCGCGTCGACAATGCAGACGGCTCTACAACGAGCAGAAACGATGGATCCCGCCTCTTTAAGTCTTCTCCAGAAAGGCTCTTCCCACAATTCTTCTCCCAACTATGGAGCCTCCGGAACGGCGACAAGAGGAATTCTGCAAGACTACCAGGCGGTACCGACCAGCGATGAAAGCGATGCCACCCGTTCGAGAAAGGTTTCATACGGCGATGCGGCGAGGAAGGCCGGGAACCATACAAAAAGCCAGAGCTCTCTGCGGCAGCGAAACGGAGTCTCCGGCTCGGAGGATATAGGATCGCCAACAAAGGCAAGGCCGTCATGGACGAAGGAAACATTTCGAAAGTTTCAGTCCCTTCAGTTGGAAAACAAGGGAAGCGTGGCTAGAGATCACCTGGCTCTTGGTATGTCGCATGCGTATACGGCAGCTGAGCTGCATGTCTCAAGAGTACCAATTGGCTGACTATTTTTTTTTTCTCTTTCTAGAACGTACATTTCTGGCATGGCTTCGAACCTCTCTCGCCTTTGCATCGATTGGCGTCGCTGTGACGCAGCTATTCCGCCTCAACACTGATAACGCTTCCGCCTCCGGATTCGACCACACAAGGCTACAAAAGATGGGACGACCGTTGGGTGCGACATTCCTCGCCATTAGTATTGTGACTCTGCTCCTCGGTTGCAGACGATATTTCCATGCCCAGGAATGGATCCTTCAGGGCAAGTTCCCGGCAAGCCGAGGGACCATCATTATCATGTCACTGATTGCATTGGCCCTCATGATTTTGTCTCTAGTGGTGGTCATTGTCATCCGACCATCATAGAGGCTTTAAGCAGCTATGGAAATCGCCGGCTTTTGGTTATTAATTTTCCGCCGGCACTCTTTTTGGAATGAAGAATGACTCATGGGCTAGGGACTTGGGATTTGGGATAGCATGGGTTTCAAAGCATGTGATTTATGGATTTTTGGTGTTTTGGACTTTGCAGGGTAAGATGTTTGGATCATGCCTGCATCGATGCGCATTTGCAATGGATAGAGGGAATCTCTTCACCGATACCTAATTGAATTTGGACGAGAATATGGTAATTAGTTTTCACAGCAAATTGACACCTTATCAATTGGCTCATGTTGAAGCTTGTGCAACTCGAGTAGAATCTTGAATATGCGCTGGTCGGCTTACCGACTCTGATCGATAAGCTGCGATAAGTCGCTATATGGGTAAAACTGCCTACCTAGACCAACACTCCAAGTCTGCTCTCCAGCAAACCATGTCTCGAATTGAAAGCGATATAAGCAATTAGTGATGCTATTAGAAAATAAAGAACATACAGCTATAGCAGCAGACACTAGAACAATATAGCGATAGTAGCTTTTACTTGAATAAACCTCACTTTGTCGTTGGAGTGGGATAGTTAACTTGGGGTTGCTGGCTAAGGTAGTACAGCACATATTTGGTGGGGTTGTTAAGCTTTGTCACCAACCGCATCTCATACACTTCAATACACACCTTCTCGAGCTCTCCCTCTTTTCCTACGGCTGCCCGTTGTAGCTTTCACAATGTCGCCTCAGGAACCAATAGACGTTCCCTCATTTGCGACGACTCAGCTTGCGCTTCTGGATCAAGAGCTGCAGAGCGAAATCCAGGAAACGAGCTCTCTCATCTCCAACCACAGCCCTACGGGTCTGCAGCGCGCTGGTCTGGCCATCACGAATCTTACCATCGCTTCGCAGAGGACAGGGTTGGGAGGCAAGACGGTGCTGGAACTGAGTCCTGATAGTGCAACCTCAAGCACGGGAGAGCTGCCCGAACATGGCATCCGGACGGGAGACATCGTCCTGGTTGCGGAACAGCCGGCGGGAAGCGCAAAGAAGAGAGAAGTCAAGGAGCTCGAGAGAAAGGGCGCCAGGGGTGTGGTGACGAAGGTGCAGAGGGCAGCTGTGAATGTTGCACTGGATGAAGGTAAAGACGAAGTCGTGTTTGCGGGGAGAGTCTGGATGGTGAAGTTGGCAGATGAGGTTACATATCGACGGTAATGAGAACGAGACACGCAGGTCGAGGACGACGAACTGACAGCTGCCAGCATGAACCAGACAATGGAAAAGCTACAGAAGATGGGGGAGGCAGAGTACTCGAGTTTTATAAGAGTGCTGTTTGGGCTGTCAAGCCCTTCTCCAGTGCCGCGGGACCTGACGACGAGTGACGAGGTTGGAAATATTGAGTGGATAGACCCAACATTGAACGATTCACAAAAGGATGCCATTCGGTTTGCTTTGGCATCTCGAGAGGTGGCTCTCATTCACGGCCCTCCTGGGGTAAGTTGTGGCTGGCTGTTTTTCTTTCTCTCTTTCTTTACGAGGTGCTGATCGATCTCAGACAGGCAAGACTCATACGCTGATAGAGCTGATTCTGCAAATGATTAAGCGTGAACAGAGAATACTAGTCTGTGGCCCATCCAACATTTCTGTTGACAACATTGTGGAACGACTTTCTCCACACAAAATACCCATCCTTCGTCTGGGCCATCCTGCCCGGCTCCTGCCCTCCGTTCTCAACCATTCTCTAGACGTTCTCACGCAGACCTCTGAGGCTGGGGCGATAGTCAAGGATGTCCGTGTTGAGATGGATGCAAAACAGGCATCGATCAAGAAGACTAAGAGTGGCAAGGAGCGAAAAGCCATATACACTGATTTAAAGGAGCTACGCAAAGAATATAGGGAGAGGGAGAGGAGATGCGTTAGCAATCTCGTTGGTGGCAGCAAGGTTGTCCTCGCAACACTTCACGGGGCGGGAGGTTTTCAGCTGAGGAATGAGCAATTTGACGTGGTCATCATTGACGAGGCGAGCCAGGCCCTGGAGGCACAATGTTGGGTTCCGCTGCTGTCGGCGAAGAAGGCTGTCTGTGCTGGTGACCACTTGCAGCTGCCGCCAACAATCAAGTCTCTCAATTCAAAGGTTAAAGCAAAGACTAAAGGGGGAGATGATAATGCGTCGCCTGTCATCAGGGGCATGACTCTCGAGACAACTCTCTTTGACCGGCTTTTGGCCCTGCATGGACCGTCCATTAAACGCATGCTTACGACGCAATATAGAATGCATGAGAAGATTATGCGTTTCCCATCAGACGAGCTGTACGACTCGGAGCTTATAGCGGCCGATGCGGTAAAAGCACGACTGCTAAAAGATTTGGAGTATGACGTTGAGAACAGCGAAGACACATCTGAGCCAGTCATCTTCATCGATACCCAGGGGGGCGATTTCCCAGAGCGCAACGAAGATGACGATAAAGAGAACCCAAGAAAGGGTAGCCTGCACGGGGAGAGCAAGAGTAACGAGATGGAAGCAGCGCTGGTTCGCCTGCATGTAAAGCAGCTGGTCGAGGCCGGCGTCCGACCCGAGGATATCGCCGTCGTCACCCCGTACAATGCACAGGTACGTTTGTTGAGACCTGGATCCAGTATAGGAGCTACGAGGCCAGGATGGTTACATGTCGGAACGATGCTGACTGGCGAGATCAGCTTGCTGCGCTTGCCTCGTTGAAGGAGAAGTTTCCGGGCATTGAACTCGGGAGTGTGGATGGCTTTCAGGGGCGCGAGAAGGAGGCTGTGATTGTGAGCCTTGTGCGCAGCAACCCTGATGGCGAGGTGGGCTTCTTGGGAGAGAAGCGACGACTTAACGGTAAGTCTTTGAGCGAACATGGGATTTTTGCTTTTTCCATGGTTATTTTTAGTCATTACGAGGAAGGCAATGGCTGAGCAAAGGGGGGAGAGTGCGAATTCACATGCTAATAGTCTCAATTACAGTCGCCATGACCCGTCCTAAGCGGTCATTAACCGTCATTGGAGACTCCGAGACGGTGAAGAGGTGCGTTCTATCTATTCTGTTGGTCTTCCAGAGAGAGAGGTGCTGACTTTGCTCTTCTAATTTTTTTTCTTCAGGGGGAGCAAGTTTTTGAAAAAGTGGATGGAGTTTTTGGAGGAGAATGCTGATCTGAGGTATCCTGATATTGCAGAGGTTAACCGAGAGTGAACGAAGAATGAGGCTATACCAAGCTATACTACCCATGCAAAGAGTACGAAAAGGTACAAAGGCTGGAACAATCGGGATATAATTTTCTCTACAAACAACCGCGGCATCATTATTCAACACTTTTACAACTCTACAGGCATGACGTACGACTGAGTAGTACAAGGCCACGTCGAAGAAAATAGATTAGATAACCATGGTGACATTGGACGACCGGCGCGGCGGTTACGTGTAGATAACTCTCACGCTGGATTAAGATTAGAGTTAATTTCACGTGGCTCGTTTGTTTGCGATACGACGGCGAGCGGCGTTTCCTGTTTCCGACGGGCATTGGGCCTGTTTGCTGTCAAATCTTGGATCAAGAGCACCCAGGCAACTTTTTCATCCGAACATCCGGCCTGCGTGTAACCGTGCAACATACCGCAGTCGTGGGTATGAAGAGGGATCTGAGAATCATCGATCATTCCAAGCATGCTCCGAATGGCTCTCGTACTAGGCAGCAGGTTCTATGACTTCCTGTTACCCGAGATGATTGTGGACAGGGTTTCGGTAAATGATGGCTGACAGTTTCTAGTGGCGGCCGGTATTCTCTCGAGAATCGCGAATCGCCCCAAAGTTGGTGATATGTCATGTCGGTTAGCAGAAGCGTCTTCTCAGCAGGGGAAACTGAACCCTGTCGGCCTGTCAACCTATGTCGAACGGAGGTCGGAAATAGGCAGCGGCGATGACACAGGTATTTGTGAGCACCTGTACAAACAAAAGATTCACCTCGCAATCTCAAGCTAGCATCTAATAAGAGCATGGCCGTCGCGTGGTAGGTGAGATGAGTGCGGCCCTCCCTTGCATTCTTTCCAGAAAAGAGGCTCCAAGAGCACGCGGATCTGCGCATGAACCACACGCATCAACCGCCCCCTGGTCCAGATCTCCAGGATGGCCTGAAACGATTGGGCAGCGCGACCAGTGCAACAGGGCTGGCTGCCACTTTATGCTTTGCATAGTGCTAAGTCGGATAACGGCCCCGGCTCGGGCGCCCGCATGATCAAGGAAACAAGAGGGAAAAAAAGCAAAAAAGCAAAGGGAAAAGGGAAATGAAACGGGCTAAGAAAAGAGGCATTGGGGGCCATGATGCCGTTGCCAAGCACTTTGCTGAGTTGGTATCTGCAAACGCCAACGGGGAAGAGTCACATCCTCCACCTCAAAATTTGTGGCATGCATGGTCTGACCAGGGGGTTCGTTTTACTTGGGTTCCTGGGGAGGTTTGCCTCGATGCAACTCGCGCGAATTGAGGCACAAAACGGCCGGTGCCTCGAGCATCAAAGAGCCTGCAACTTGGTCGGAGCAGAGCCTCGAAGAAGGGATAGACGTCCGTTGGCAGCCGTGGAACGAACCAGGCATGCATTCTGGCACGGTAGCGCGGCTCACTTTGTCAGTTGTCACATCACCCTGGCGCCAATTTGTGAGTCGATTTGCTTACACGCTGGTGTTGTCCCGCTGGCCGTTGGTACCTGAACTGTATTTTAGTCCGTGGTCCGCTGGCCGGGCCGAGTACTTGCAGGACAGCAAATACGCTCAACTCGTATTAGCAGGCGGTAATAAGAGAGAGGTAAAATTGAGCAGTGGCGGAGTTTGGGGAATGGAGTTTGGAGTTTGAGGGTATCCGGAGAGGATTTTTTTTTGTTTGCCTGCTTTACCTACCTACCTAGGTATCTGTACCAGCAGATTTGTAATCCTCCTCTGCCTCATGGCAAGTGTAGCTCGGTGGTTGTCTGCACTTTCCATGGTACCCTTCTCTAGGTTCCTTCCACTGACCTCTGGCAGGTACCTTGTAATTAAGGCATGGGGAAATACCACCCACCGCATTCACCACTGACATGAAGCTTCGCAGATCATCGTCTCTCGCTTTCATCCCCCCTCCCTGCATTCTGCATTACGAGTACTGTGCTCGTACTTGTTTGTATCATGCCATCTGTTCTTGATCCATCTGGCAAGCCACAACGCAAGCAGCAGCTCGACTAGCGGCAGCTTTAGCTCTGCTGGTCTCAATAGGCTGTCAATGATTGCGGTCCCGTCGGCTTCAGCCGCCTGCTAGTCCTTGCAGCTACTGAGCGACTACGAGTAACTGCTGGAACAGCTCGTTGCTACCGCAAGCGCTATTGGAATCCCGGCGTTCGTTCGTGTCTGGTCGCTTGCAAGCATTCGTACGAGGTTTTTGTACCTGTAAAGCAAGGAGGCCTTGTCAAGTCGCCGACTTTGGCACCGAGCAGTTGCTTGCCAGAATCGCCATGTTGCCGCCCCAGGCTCTGCGACAACGCACCGAATCTGCACCCGCCGCGAGCCCCTTTCTTTGTTGTCGGAGTGCGGTCCAATCCCGAGGCCCCATGGACCCTCCCCTGCGAGAAACGTGGCCGGCATCTCTTGGCGGAGAGCCCTGCTGGGCAAAATGCACGCACGAGCCGTTACAGTACGAGATGGAGGCAAGCCAGCCAGTCGAGCGAGGTCGAGCAAAGTCGCCAGTCGTCATCGATATGCACGACCGCTGGTCTCGGCCGTGAAGAGGCAATGCTTGCCGGCCATTGATTCGTCTGCTGTGTTTGTATGTGTACGAGTACACTCGTGTGCCGCCCCTCGGCTGTTCCGTTGAAGCACAATCCAATCCACCACGGCAGAGGGGGGGCCTGGCTACTGTACGGACGGTATCGCTGCTGCAGCATCCTTGGATCCGGTAAAGGGCCGTATTTCCACGCACGCGACTCTCGTTTGTGCTTGTGCTCCGTACTCCGTAAAGTACGTACAAGTTCCGTATTGCATTACAGGTTTTACTGCTGCTGGTACCAAGTGTACTCAACATTCAATCTGCGTGCGTACTTGTACGGGCCCTGGTACGGAATTGAGACCCCAGTCCTCCGTAGAGGGAACCAGAGCGGCCGTCCTGACACCGGTACTCCGTACTCCATACGCTTCATATCTTGGGTGGCTCTTTGATCACGGATAGCGCGTTTCTGACCTGCCCTTCCTGGGCGTTTCAAGCTATGCGCCTCGGCGTGCTTCGATCCCAATCCCTCGCTAGCTTGGCTGCAGCTCGGGGCCATCTGGGGGCTCCGTTCAAATACGGCCAGGGCGCCATCGTGTTTCATCCTCCGTCTTCCCAAGGCCTATTACACAAAGGAATTCGCCCCGGCCGTGGCCGCGAGCAATCGATCTCATTGCTGCTCCATACACCTTTGTGGCACTTCAACTTTTACATCTCCATTTCTTATAGCGACTGGGTCATGGCGCCGTTGGCCAGATCGCACTGACGTTATTTCGTGTCCCTCGTTTTAATTGTGATACTATTTCCTTTATCTTTTGCTACTGCTGTTTCCCTTTTGCCCCGCGGCTACCGCACAGGACGCTTCGACAAACGCCTGGACCAAGTTTACTCTCATCGCACCGCTGTAACCTGGTAGACGATCCAAGAACCGAGGACTGGGAACGGCCTCTGCTTGAACCGATATGGTCAGCTAGCCTCACCGACGCCAAATTTTAACGCTGGTAGAACACGGAGAATCCGAAGCTTCCATCGCCTGGTCCGAGAGCTCCTACCTATGCGGATGACGGCAAAGAAGTAAAAAGCAAACTCTCCAGGTCCATGGTTTCCTGCCGCCGTTGAAGCTTCTCACCATCGTCATCCGTGCTTTCTCTCCCAAACAATTCTCGACACTCATTCAACCTTCTCTTATTTTTAAAAACTCTCATCGATTTATTTTCCTTTTTTTCTTTTGTTATTTAACTCTGTCTTCTTCGAACACCCTTTTTTCAGCATCTTTGCAAATAAAGATGCACCGAGCATCTTCAACACCTCTACCTCCCCAGGGTATGCCCCGGTCGTCAAGCGCCGCAGCTATCAACAACATTAACAACCTCAAAGTTCGCTCTCAGACCAGCTCTAGGATAATTCGGGCCCAAATCTCAAGCCCGATACCCATACCAGATCCCTTGGACAAGGAGCTGTCCGTTAGACCACACGACGTGAGCTTTTCCGAGTACATGCCTCAGCACGCCAACCTCACCCAACCCTCTATGGATATCTCACGACCCTCGGCGGAATTTTCTCGCCGCCGCATTTCCTTCACACCTGAGCGATCTCGGTCAGTTCTCCGAACGGCATTTAGCAGAATATTTGGCCGTAAGAAGGGACCCCGACCTAAGACGGGACTGGCCTCGGCGGGTTCGGAGGAGGATAGGCAAAACGAGCAGTACAGTGTAAGTGCGCATCTCTTGATATTTCATTGGGGAGCCGCGAGCGATTCGTTATAATAGTTTACTGACGCAGCCAAACAGGATCCCGCGAACAACACTTCTCCTGCCCGGAGCCCACCTACAAAAGTCTCTGAACCCATTCCCGTCTCTGAATATGATCGGGCTTTACGGTCCCATTCTGTTGGTCCCGAGGATGTAATGGCCATCCGAAGTGCTCGCAGCCCCGTCAACCAAGACTTCAGTGGCCACCAAAGAAGGCGCACCGGAACTGGCAGTGATGCTCACCCGGCCAGTGCTCGCTGGGTAAAGCCGACGGGGCTGACTCCGCGTCCTGCCAGCACTCAGGACTGGGGAAGTAGGCTGGTTGATGATAGCCATGATCCGGAAGAGATTGGCCGTGCTATTACGACAGGTCTTAAACGTCGGTCTAGGAGCCTGTCATTTATTCCTTTAATCGAAACTACTTCTACTCCAGCCCCTAGCATTACACGGCGCCGCAGCGACGAGATTCCTCGCGGGTGGCGAGAAAGCTACGACCAAGAACCCGCATCCCCTATATCATCAACGGCGCCAGATGCCGAGGACCGGGCCACCTTCATTAGCGACAAATCAGATGATGAGTCCAAGACTGATGATGAAGCAGAGTTGCCGGATGAAATCGAGTCACCCGTGAAGCCTTTTACGTTTAGCAACATACCTTACATGACAGAATTTGCCGGCACGAGCATGAAAATTACAGATGCCGTGAATCTCGAGACGCGAATTGGCCAAGTGGAGAACCGTTTAAGCCTGGTGGAAGGCCTTCTGACGCATGCCCGCCAGGTAACTCCAAGTGCTGGGTTGCCAGACGATGTCTCGGAACGATTGGCGCCGCCTGCGCCTGCGTGGCCGTCTACCTTCGCAACGGCGGCTCGTCCATCCTCTCATTCCTCTGCTCAGTTTTCTGGGACATCTAGACTCTCGTTCGGCGAGATACCGATTTATGCACGATCAGCAAGCCAACAAGCAACAAAGCAGCCCATGTTTGCTACCCCTGAGCGACCGGCGCTTGCATCCAGTCTCCCCACGCTTTCCAAATCCTTCCCTACTGGATCATTCCTAATGGATCATGAAACTTACAATACACTCCTAACAACAATGGAGAACGATCGTGCTGCTCGAGTAGCATTGGAAGCGCAAGTAATGGAACTCAGCCGGCAAGTTAGTCGCCTTTCGAAAGGGTTACCTAGCACTCTTGCCGCCCAAACGAGAGATGACGCCGCATCTCACCCCCTCGGGCAAACGTCCGTTTTCGATTTCGGAGACACCAACGGGGACTTTATAACGAAGGATGGGGGCTTGAGTTACAAGAGAGAGCACACCGAAGATTCTGGCATAGGCACCGAAGCTGGTGACAAAGACTATCCCGAATCATTTGCCACGCTGAACGAGGAAAACCACAACCCAGACTTACCATTCAGCTCGCCCCATGCGGCGTTGTCGCTTTCTAAGCTCACAATGATGGGTGGCATCCCGTCATCCCAACAGGCATTATCGCAGACGATCTAGATGACGTGTGAATCTGGATCGCGATGAAAAAAAAAACCAAAGAAGAAAAAAACAAAACACTCAACCAAATGGCATTTTCATGACTTCTGGTAACTGCTAGCGCTGTATTGCTTGTGTATTATATACCCCATTCCTACGACGTTGAATCGTCTGGAATACTGTCTATAGCATTGTTGTTTGTGAGGCGCGGATGGGGTGTGATTTCAGGTTGGGCAAGGACTGGGAGCAATTGAGGCCCTTTGGCCAAGGGTTGCACGCGGGACCATAGATAGAAGGATGGCTCGATAGTTTTTGTTAAGAAGAATAAAATATCTTGACCTCAAAAGGCACGTACAATTCTATAGTGATGTTTCTACAGGAAAGGGGGAAGCTCTAATTGAGATTTGTTCCCGATATCGTGTCGGGTTGAAGTGACATATGTTTTGCAATTTCCCTTTAACGCCAGATGAATCAGAAGCCCTCGTTATTCGTACATGCCCATGCTCATTGGGTATTCGGCTCAATAGTATTTACCATTTAAAAACATGGAAGCCTATTATTCCGTTAAGAGTGGAGTAAATCGTCCCTGAGTCCCCAGCTGCCGACGAGAGCCATGGACTTTTCGTCTCCTGGAGCCAGGCGGTCGTCCTGGAGCGTATCGGCAAGGCACGTCCAAGGGTCACGGCCGCCACCCCACTTGAGAAGATTCTCCTTGAGGCGCTCGCCGTTATCGCGGCCGATGGCTGCGCCGTCCTCGCCGGCGCGGAAGACGACACGCCAGACCCGCTCGGCGATGACGCGGTCGAAGAGGTAGCTGTAGTAGGTGCTGCCGTAGCTGTGCAGGTGGCCGAAGAAGCCCTGCCAGCGAGTCTCGGGGGGGTCGCGGGGCCCGTGGGCGAAGCGGGCGTGGATGTCGTGGAAGGCGGCGGTGGAGTCGAAGCCCGGGGAGGCGGCGTCCGGGGCGTGGTAGGCCTGGTCGACCATGGCGAGGAGGATCTGGTGCTCGGTGTCGATGCCCTCGAAGCGCTTGGAGACGCGGATGCGCTCGGCGACGAGGTCGTAGGGCAGCGGCTGGTCCGTCTTCCAGTGGCGGGCGAAGAGCGAGAGCACGGTGCGGTCGGCGGCGAAGTGCTCCATGAGGGTGGAGGGGAGCTCGGCGAAGTCGGTTGCGCAGCGGGTGCCCGAGACGTTTTGGAACGAGGTGCGCGCCAGGATGGAGTGGATGGCGTGGCCCATCTCGTGGAAGAGCGTCTCGACCGAGTAGAAGGACAGGAACGCCGGCTCTTTGGCGTTGTCGTTTTTGGGGAAATCACAGACGAGGGCGATGGTGGGCAGCTGCTTCAGGGTGCCGTCGCGAGACGACATCTCCATGCCGTCGTTGGCAGCTTGCTCGGCGGATTCAAAGGCAGGCATGTTGGGGCCGTTGAGGTCTGAACCAACCTCGTCGATCTCGTCGGGGAGGATCTCGCGGGAGCATCGAACGGTGAAGTGGGCTGGGTTGGGAGACTTTTGCGGCCGGTAGAAGAGATCGCAGTATAAAACGGCCACTTGGCCGCCATTGTCCGACACGACGTCGAGGCGCTTGACATCGGGATGCCAGGTTTCGCCCGGGAGCGTCTCCCGTGGAACGAGGCGGATGCCATAGAGACGATCAAAGAGGCGGGACAGACCCTGGATGACGGTCCCGACGGAGAAGTAAGCCGTCAAGTGATCGTCAAACCTGACCCGCGACCGCATCTCGGCTCGAATCTTCTCCATGTAAAAGTCCCTGTCCCACGCTTGGAGAGTGGCGTCCTGCATGGCTAGCCTCTCCCGCTTCTTCTGCGTCAGTTCGCTCAATTCCTGCTGAATGATGGGAGCGTTGTGGTCCCTAAGAGCGAGGAGGAACTGCATCACTGAAGCGGGCGACTTGGCCATCATGCGGTCCTTAAGCGCCATGTGTCCGTGGCTCTGGAAGCCGGCGAGATTCGCCAACTCTGCCCGTAGCTTGAGCATCGTCTCCAGAAGCTTGATAGTCCGGCCGGATGCTCTCCGTTGGGCGAGATAGATTTCCTTGCGAGTCTCCTCGTCATACACGCTCTGCAGGGCGGCTGCGGCCTCGGAGCCGGTGGTGGGGACCGAGATGTTGGACCGGACCTTGAGGGATGCGGCGAGGCCGGGATATAAGCCGTAGAAGCGATGCGACGGCAGCGTCACATCCTTTCGCTCCGGCTCCATGCCCTGGACAAACGCCGAACCGACGTCGCTGATGCGGGAGGATAGCTCAACGAACCTGTCGCGAGCCGCCTTGGGCAGGTTGACGGCAGACTTCATGAAGTCGAGCTTGAGCAGCTCTGCCACTGTCTTCTCCTCCTCGGACCAGGTTGCTGTGACCTCGGGACGGGACATGGCCTCTCCCAACTGGTCGCTCAGCCCGGTCATAGTATTCAGCTGGTTCATGTACTGGTACACCATGGACCAGGCGTCTGCTGCGGCCTGCTGAAAGCGCACATCGGGGTGCGTCATGCGAACAAAGTCGGACATGTCGAGGACACGGCAGAGCAAATCGCTCAGCCGGTCGAGGTCCCGTACCAGCGATTGGTACTCGTGAGTTGTCGAAGCGGCGAGCACTCGGTGAACGATGCGAGTCGCTCTCTGTAGGTTCTTCTGTGCAAAGACGAGGAATCCATCTGGACTGGTCAGGTAGCGATTCTTGAACAGTCCTTGGCTCTTCTTCAGGCTGAAGTTGGCAAACGTTCGGCCGGATGGGGCGTCGAATAGCTCGCGGAGAAGCGCATCGTCATGCTGAGAGCTTGTAAAGTGATCGACCGGCAGCTTCGAAGCATCGGCCACCGGCGTCGCAGAAGCGGAAGCAGCAGCAGCAGCAGCGGAAGCGCTCGACTCCCATCGAATATGCGGCTTAGGCTTGATCACGCGACGACAGCATCGGGTGCAGACCCGGAGGCGGGAACCCCCGGAGTTGAGCATTGCTAGCGTTGGGAATGAAGACGGAGATTGGGGGCATACGTAGAACTATTCGTCCTCATAGTATCATGCGCAGAATCCGAGCCAAGCAAGTCCTAATTGCAGTCGAGTGTGTTGTAACGAGGCAGAAAAAATCAAGGTGGGAACCGAAGTTCGGAGTTGCGACATGTGGTACCTTAAAGATGTACCGACGCGATCCCGAAAGCCGATATGGGCAACCGCCAAGCTCGAATTGGCTCAAGATGAGTTATATTCGTTGAGGAAAGGGGCTCAGATATAGTTGATAAGCATTGTAAAATAGATATATATCCCAACATATTAACAACAATATTTTCCATTCCGAGTGGACTGGCTGGGGGTCCATTTGTTGCAGGCCAAGACCCCTCATTGTTTCCGGGAAAGAGGCACTTCACTTACACACACGGAAGTGATCGCTGATCTCGTGCCTAATTGTTGCCCAGGTTTACCGCTCTCTGCGACATACGCAATATGATTGGGATTATCAAGATTCCCGTAAGCAAAGAGGGTCATTGCTACTGAGTTGGCTAGATGGCTTTGGCCGTGCGTGTTCTTCATCTGGAGACTGACACAAGCCATTACGTAGGTCAGGCATACTTTCACCACTATGTCCACCCTACAGATTGGGTTTCTTTCGATAATCTTGTGATATATTTCGTGGAAATTGGCGAGCAATATCAATGTCCTAGATGAGAATGGACCTCATAGGCTATAATAAACCAGTAGACTATTGGTGAAAGAAATGCTAAAACCCATGTGGTATAGAACTATCCAAACCAATTCATCTTAACTGTCCATTATTGTTTCATAGTTGACAATTTATGACTATATATGACTTGCACAGCTAGAAGCCGAAACTGGACATCTGCGTGTATACAAGAATACAATTGTTTTCATACATGTCAACCTACCAGGGACATGCTGTTTACCTCTTTTTTATTGGCCTGATCCTTTCGTATCAGCGTGCATAACATTCATCATCGTAATACGGAATAGGGAAACTAAACAAACCCTGAATCACGGACTAATACTATATAAGCTACCACAAAATACAGCATTAAAAAAAGAAAGGAAAAAGAACAGACCAAAGGAAGACCAGAGTTGTGTTCAGTTTCCCATTGGATCATGCAGCAAAACCTCCCCAATGCGGCAATATCCCCAGTATTGCTAGCCGCCGGGGCCGGAATTTCTCTGGCGCCGCCCGTCGGAATAGTGCGGGATCCTGGCAAGATCGCATGAGCCTTTTCAAAAATACATCATCGAAGTCGTTTTTGACCAACCAATTCGCCCTGCATCATGGCCGCGAGAGTGCTCCTGCAGCGGGTAAGGCAATGCATTCCAACGTTCCGTTCGGCGGTACGCGTCAGCTAATTGAGTCGTGAATTCAGCGCTCCTTTGCGCCGCTGGCCGCAGCCGCCCTGGGCGGAATCGCTTTTTCGCCGGCGGTGGTCTTTGCTGAGGCTCCCAAGGTGTGCCCATGACCTCGTGTCTCCTATTTGTGTAAAAGAAGAACGACGACCTCTAATATGCAATGCAAAACAACAACAGAGAAAGCCAATCTACGATGAGGTCGAGTTCCACTCTCCGCTGCCCGTAGCGCCCTCACCACCGGCCATCCTCCCCAGCCAGCCCATCAACGACAATGCCGACGAAGAGCCCGCGTCCCGAGTCCCTACGCCCACCGACCGACTGGCCGTCCAGATTGGACGCGCGCGCTTGTTCCTCTACGACGTTGCCGTGGCCGCCGAGAACAAGGTCAACCAGACCATGGATTCGGCCTTTGACCTGGAGCAGTCCTTCACCCGCACAATCGCCTCCCTGGCGCCCCCGCGAGAGAGCGGCGAGAAGCTCATGCCCGGCGGAATCTACGTCCTGGTCGCTGCCATGGCCGGCAGCATCCTCACCAGGAACCGAAGCGTCGTGCTGCGCGCCACCCTCCCCTTCGCCCTCGGCGTCGGTGCCAGCTGGACGGTGCTTCCCATCACCATGCGCAACGTGTCCGACCTTGCGTGGAAGTACGAGCAAAAGTTCCCCGCCGTGGCCGAGTCTCACATCAAGCTGCGCGAGGGCATCCAGAGGGGAATTCACTTTGCAAAGGTCCACAGGGAAGTGGGTGTACAATACGTCGACGACAAGGTCACCAACGTCCGTGAGGCGGTTGAGAACTGGGTTGCGCAGGGAAAGTAAAACCGGAGGGGAACACACGTGTTAATTTTAAAAAAGCGACTGTACCATCACATAGAGATTTTTTTTCGGTAACCTGTTCTACATCTCATTTTGTTCATATGAGAGCTTCAAAAAATGGGTCGAGACGAGGCAGAAAATACAAAAGAGGGGCCGTGGGCTGCATAAAATACATGAGAGATAGTAAAACAGACACACATTTCAGAAGTATTCAGATCTGGTTCATATTCTCAAATGGCTCAACTATGTAAGTTCGTGTTTATCATGGGTGGTATAGTCACCACGCGCAGGGCATCCCTCAATGCTGCGTTAATTTCAAGAGCCGCCTCCCTCCCAAACTCCGCCCGTGATGCATCCTTTTGTGTCTCCCTCCTTTTGTCTATTAAAAAATGTCCTCCCCCTTCATCCAACAGAAGCAATCGGCAATGGTTCAGGCTCCGGCTGCGCGATGGCTCCCCGCTCCGACAGGGCCTTTTTCTGCTGTGTCTTGACTCTGGCTTGTCCCGTCTGCCCACCGGCGGCTAGGGCAGCGGCATTGGATTTGCCCTTTTTCGACTGCTTCACTGGTGGCTTGTCGAGTCCCCGCCTCACGTCCGCTTCTCGGGCCTGCTCCATGAACTCCTCATGGCCCAGCATCCGGCAGACATCTGAGTAGCTCTTGCTCTGGGTCAAAGGCTGGTGAAGCCCGGCTTTCCCAGGGACCATCTGGGCCAGGAGATATTTCGTGTTGCCGAATCGGTTCTCGACATCCATGGATGCCTTGACGTACTCCTTGACAACTTCTTCCCAGGGAGCAAGGCCTCCTTCAGCTTCGGTCCTGAAGCAGCTGGGATTCTTCTCAGCGGATGTGGCAATCATGGCACCATCTGCGCCGAATTCCTTTGCCAATTTTAATCCTTCATCCTTGGACTCCACATCACCATTCATCAAGCAGGCCACGCCAGCCTCGTGGCAAATCTCGGCAACCATGCGCAGCTGGCCACGGATGGCACGCTCGCGAGGTCGCATTGGCGTTGTTCTGCAATGAACCGTGAGTCCTGTAATACCTGTGGCGACAAGTCTCCTGACAAGGGCTTCGGTCTCGGCAGGCGTCTCGAGAATGCGAATCTTGACACTGATGCCAATTTCGAATTCAGGAGTGATGTTCTGGACCAGTTTCTCCAGGATCGCGCACAGCTTGTCCGGAGTTCGCAGGAGGGCAGCGCCCATGCCTCCACTTGTGCTGAAGGGTTTCGGGCATCCAGCATTGACGTCTATGCCGGCAACGTCTGCTGCGACCAGTCTTGAAGCTTCCAATGCGCGATCCGGGTCCGAGGTTCCAATCTGAAAGATGAGCTTGCCCTTTTCCTTCTCAGGGTGAATTGCGTATATGATATTCTCCTTTGCATCCGGCGGCGGTTCTTTCTGGCCGTGAGAGGCCACTCGGAACCACTCGAGTGTCTGGGTGGCTTCGTTGTATCGTCTCGTCGTTCCAATCATTGCTCGATCAACTGTTTCCGGGCCTGGAGAAATCATGTCAGAAAATAACTTGATACCTCAAGAAGCAAGCAGGTTGCCTCTTTTACTCACCCCACACGACATCAGCGCCGTACTTGAGCGCGAGCAGCCGAGAGGGAAGTTCTCCAGAGCGCACCATTGGCGCAAGAACCACCTTGCCGCGGTAGTCCACGCCACGGCGAGGAATCGGGACCATTTTGACCTCTGAAGCCATGATTCTGTTCAGCAACCTCAGCATGCCACTTTGGCGCAAGGCGCAACGGTGCAAGTTTCTTGCTTGATGACAAAATCCAAAATCCTGACCCCCAGGTGGGATGCCATAACAAATGATTCAGCTAGCGCTTATCGGTCATATCGCTTATCGATAACGGAATATCCCATAGTTAAAAATGGAGACCGCTCCGATGTGGATCCGAACTCGGAGCCGAGCTTTGAAACCTGTTCCGCCTCTGACTGATTTGCCCTTTCAGTTTCAGCCACCTGAATGTCTTTGTTTAAACGGGGACGGGAGTCAATATTGAGCCGCCAAGTTACGAATGCGCGCTCCTGGAATGCGCAAATCACCATGCAGCAACGACGGGAATGCACATAATCTTAAAAGTAGATGGACGGGGCTGTGACACAGGCCATGGGTAGATGAATATTGGCTAAATTGCCGTTGATAAGGCCTGCAATATTAGGAGAAATTAAGGTCGCGTGACAAGATTAACGGCAAACTTCATTTTGGCGGGGGGCTGCAGGTAGATTGCTGCAGGTTGAATGAGGTAGCATCCAAGACTCGGGAGCGAGACAAGATTTGATACAGTCAAGGTACACGAGTGGTACAGCAACTCAACATTGCCTCCCGTCAGGTGGGTTGATAGAAAGGCAGGTCAAGAATAGCAGTGGTAGCTGGCATTTTGGTTCCAGCATTAGTCAAGGCGATTTCATTTTGGTGGAGTAGACTGAGCGGCTGGGTCTAGAACAGAAGAATTGAGACTATTTCGAGCATATTCCCCGACGGTGATTCGGTATTCGTTCGATTAGTTTGGCCGTCTGTTCGTGATGCGAGGCTGCGTCTATTTTTGTCGCAATGTGCCGGGAGGGTGTGCTAGTCCCAGGTGTCAACCCACGTTTACGAGGTCGATCTCGAGCGCACATAGATTTTCGACCATGAAATGCATGATTACCTCGTGTTTGACGACAGCAGATCTTGATTCGTCGCAGTGGCGGCACACTTTGGATGAAAAGGGCTGTAATATTCGTAGATCGTATCAAAAAAACTTTACGGGCGCTTTGAGCCAAATGCCGACAAATCTTTTATCCGATCAATCATGGGTCTGTTTTAGGATTTCGAAACATTGGAACCAGGTAATTTACAGCGAATATTTCAGCTCCATTCCTGGGTAGTCTCCTTTGTGTTCATGCTAAATTTGTTTATTCCAAGGAGAGAGAGAGAGAGAAAGAGAGCCAGGGAACAGTCCCTATCGAGGGAAATAAACATTTTGACGATATCAAGCACGACGTGCTAAGCAGCAGTTAGCATGCGCCGTCCTCCAATATTCGGTTTGAGGTTCTGGTGGTCCTGGCGTTAGTTTCAGGGATCCGTTCCCTATCGAGGCATCCCGGCCCCAACATGCGGTTCTGGCGCGCAGGGGATAGGGGAGGAGGTCCAACGTCAGAAGCGGCACGTAAAAACAAACGAGTACTATCGAAGGGCCAGTTCCGTAACGTTGGTGCACAAACAAAGGAGTTTGGTAGCAGTACCACATGAGTGCTACCTTGCGAGGTACTATATGTACGAGAGCTATTTATCGGTTGTTTGCCTTTGACCAGAGAGAGGTTCACAGCCTCTGCGCGAGTACTCGTACATCACCTGAAAGAAAACCTAAGGTACCGGCTAGCGACCTCCCAGAGCGAATTAGGCGCGCAGTCATGGGCCTGATCCACTCTAGCCCCCGAGACCTCAGGGGCTTGGTTGGTGGGGGAGAGGTCACTGGGGTCGCTGTGAGCAGAAAAAGGGCCCAATTGCTTCTACAGATTGCGGCTAGGTAGCACAAAGTGAGTCCATCGGGGTGGGTTCGATGGTGTGGCGCTTGCATGAGGGATGAGGGGAAAACGATGAAAGCAACAGCAAGTCAAAGGACGAGGCAGTGTACCTACTAAGGTGCTCGTAAACAATGGGCGCTGAAAGCCAGAGCCGGGAATACGAGCACATCGCCGTTTAAGCTCATTCGTATCAACAGCCGGCTGCAAGAATAGGGCTCCTGCAGGCGCTCTCTCGCTTGCAACGTACGGGCATGTACATGTACTCTCCAAGTACCAGACATTGGTACCTGCACCCCTGGGTCTTTGTCTGTGATAAGGGTCTCCATCGTCAAAGGGTTGTGGGTTGCGAGCTGTGGTCTAGCCGTCTTCAATGCTCTGAAACTTCCTTGTCATTCCCTGGACGCGCCGATCAAGTCCAATTGGATTCCCTCGTGACGACATAGCCAGTAAATCCCAATAATCTCTGTGTACCTGCCTCGACCGCGAGTACTAAACGGTACTGGCATATGTAAAGGCGGACGAGGTACTACCCGACCCGGTACTACTTGTACCAGAGTGTGTCTGTCCCAAAAGGCGAGCTGGCAGCAATCCAATCTACACCACCTTCCCGCCGCCCCATGCCAAAGAGGGCCAGCCTGCACCTTTTCTGCATATGCTGGCGGCCACAAAAAACATTCGGTTTGCAGCTTCGTCGTCCGTTTAGCATTGAGCTCCATTTCCATTAGCCACAAGCACCTGGTCGCGCACGGGGAGTCAGACTCCTCGCTGCCAGTGTTTTTCCAGAGCCGGTGACGGGGGAACCAACCACGTACGGGAGTCCCAGACCAGTGCGCCCCGAAATCCAGGAGACAGTTAGAGAGAGAGAGAGAGAGTCTGAGAAAAACAAAGACTGAGCATCTCCAGCAGAGCAGCAGCATCGCCGACCCCCCAGCAATGGAGAGCGCCCAGTCTTACATGCCCGATGATGGCGACTCCAAGAAGAAGCGAGGCCGCCTCATGGGCAAGCTGTTTGGCAAGGACCGCAAGGCTGAGGACACGGCCAACGCTGCATCTGTAGATGCCTTCCTGCACAGCTCTGCCGACACGCTCAACGTCTCCCACCCGCCGCCCCCGATTCCTCCCCAGATCTCGCTCTCGCTGCCCAAGCTGGACACCAGCATCTCCCGCTTTCCCCAAGCGCTGGCTGTCAACCAGCAGGCCCAGCAGAACCGCGCTATAGCTCCGGGCGCCAGCAATGACGTCCGATCTCCAAAGCGAAGCCCACGACCGAGTCGCAAGGGCCTCTCGGTGAGGTTCACGGAATCCTACCCCGAGATCATGGGCGAAGGCGGTGACGAGTCCGAGACGCCAACGATGGAGATATCGAGGAGGAAGAAGGACCGCCAGCAACCTCCCCCGCCGACACCGCCTCAGAGCCGGCCAAACCCACCTTCGAGCAGGCCCTCTTACTCCAACAATGACCTGTCGTCCTCGCAAGATGACTTCGTTCCCAAGCCTATATCCCGAACCCAGACGGGCTACTCGTCCATCTACAGCCCTGAGCCCGAGCCCAGGCCGTTGCCAAAGACGAGAACCAATTCGTCGTTTCTGGAGCCGCAGAACCCTGGTCGAAACCAATCTCCAGGCCTCTTGGGGGTCTCAAGCAACACTGATGAGAATAGAAAGTCCTTCATCGAGATTCATCAGGCCCAGATGGCGCTGGCTGAGGGAAGGGCCTTTGCCAAGGCTGCCCGCACCGCCAGTGCAGCATCTGAGCATGATTGGGGTGAGAGGAAGCTGCCCTCATCCCGCGAGCTTAACGATTCCCCAGAACCTACGTCTCCCGAAGCCCAGGCCAGGCCAACCACAGATTACAGCCCTGTTACCTCCATGTCTACAAACTCCAGCACGTTCCCGTCGCCGAGCAATCCAACTGCATCAAAGTCGATACGTGAGATTCCGCGGCGCCCAAGCGGCAGCTCTCAGAATGACCCCCCGCCCCGCGCTCCACCCTCCATGGCCTCGAGAGCGCTCTCGGTTCGTGTCACAGACGCGGTAGCCGGCAGCGAAGCTCTCAAGACCTTTATCGCCAGAAGTAGGCATCTCTTTGCGCTATTTCGTCTACATGCTGAGCAGGTGAAACCGCTATCATCTTGTTCCCAGTCACAGCTTGCACGGGGAAGTCTTTGGTGGTTTTTGAAAGGTAGAATGGGCTTGGAGGCAGCTATTCGCGACCGCCCTACTACTCCCCAGTCACAGATGCAGCTCGACCTAGACCGACAGCAGGCGCACTCCAACCTGGCCAAATCGTATTGGCTCTGCCAGGAAGTCCTCCCTGACCTCGTTGAAGCTCAAGGCCTGGCGCCAGACGCCGAAGTTGCGGATGTAGCTCAAAATCTGGTAACGGCTCTGACGAAGCTTGCAATCTCGATGAAGCGAAACCAAATCCTGCCACCAGAAGATACCGTGTTGCCGCAAACTATTGACAAGTCTATTTGGGTGGAATATCCTCCGCTGAGCCAGGATATGGTCGCTTTGCTAACGGGCAATTGGGGTGGTGGCTTGACGGCAATGCAGCACCCCATGACCTACCTCGAGCTTCTGGACGCTTTCCCCGTGGGCGATACGGCAGACACGTTTTGCTATGGCAGATTGCCCACGGAGGTGTACCTCATGGAGCAAGGAAGAGAGAACAAGCAGCTGCGCTTCGTCTGCATGTTGTCTCTGGTTCGACCTACCAAGCAGAACGGGCTCATCTTTGTGATTTCTAGCCAGGACGGCAACATCCAATTGCCAATCCAGGATCGAACAAGCGCAGGCGGGCCTTGCTGGGAAGACATTCGTTGGAGGGCCGAGACCTCTTCCTTTGACCTGCGCCTGCCTCGTGGCTTCAAGCTGTCGGTGCAGCTGAACCAGAGCGACTACAGGATGCTTTACAACATGTACGACTACGCCTCGAAGCTCCAGCAAACGCTCCAACCGCGGCCCGACGAGCAGGTGGTATTCCGGAACACACTCAAATCCTTTCAGTACCTGGATGCGGACCCCAACTCCCGCGCATTCCCCAAGGATCAGATACCTTCTTGTGACCTAGCCCTCTTCGAAAAGCTCCGCAAGGAGAATGGACCACAGGGCCAACGTTGCTGGCACACCGGGCTCCGCATAGCAGTTGTGACAGGGCCAAAGACG